GAACTAGATAACCAGAAATTTGAGTTTCTTTTAAGCATTATTTCTCTATGCTTTTCTCCCCTCCGCTGGTGCTAGCTCATTTTGACACATATTGATGATGTTGTGAAATTATCAAGACCTAGGAGATCCATAAAAGAAATACTTTCTACACAAGCAGAAAGGGAAAGAAGCTGAGGTCAGGGAGGTCCCATTAGGTTTGGAAATAGAAGAGGTACGTGGAGCGACATCAGGTGAATCGAAACAAGGAGAAAAAGTAAAGAGACAAAGAGAAAAAAATGAAAATGGAGCAAGGGAGGAATGACAAAACTGATAAATGGGAGGAGTGAAAAGGATATGACTAATGATATGAGGAGAGTTGTTTCTGGAAAAACTGACTCGTTGAACAATGATTCACACAATAAACACCTGGACATTTGCCGCCTTCTCATCAGATTTACTCAGAGAAACAGCTGGCTCAAGGCACCAGTCTCACTGCTGAGTTTCTTGTTGTGATTTTATCTGTGGCACCATGTTATGCCTGTTGTAAAGCCTTAAGTGCTTCTGGACTTTGTAATGTATTTGACATGGGAGATTTTTTTTTTTTTCCTCTGTGTGGTTACAACCTGTAAGCAGTTGCTCTACAGCTGGGAAGTTATTTCAGCCTGAGAAAGACACAAGGGATGAGCAGGATCACCTCTTCCAGTGACTTTAAAAAAATATAGGCATTAATTTAAGCATATTAGGTACCTTAAATTTGTATTTCAATTACCCCACTGCACTTCCTAATAACTGGACTTCCAAGCAGAGACTCTAGCATTTGAAAGACAAACTCCTAACTTGTTTATGAGGCTGTGACTTCTGAAATCGTGGCTTGAGTTATTCTGCACTTGTCATGTACAGGTGGGCTAAAAATCACATTAGGAATTTGCTTATGTGAATTTGTAATTGCAGTATGAATTCTGGCTCTTTTGAAATTTATACTTCATGTGGAAAGTACTTCTCATTCATATCTAATTAGTACACAATTAATCTGCATGTAAGTCACTTAAAGTCAACATATTTCCAGGAAAGTTCAATTCCCTCTCCCTTATAATATTTACTTTGAACTCATTAACAATGAGTTCTAATGGTTTAATGGAAATTGTTGTTTTTGAGCTGTGTTCTAAAGATAACTCACCACTAGCAGACAGCTTTGAGAAAGTCTGAATCATTCTGAGTGCATGAGCAAGTGGAGAACAATTGTGTTTGAAAGCATGCTGAAAGCACAGTCTAGAGTTTTTTTCTTGGAGAAACAAATGCTGATTTTGAGGGAAAAGTGTGATCTGAAGCACAAACAGAAAGCTCACCTCTCCCAGAACTGTACGCCTTCCAGCTGTGATCAATTCTAAACACTTGTCTCCTTGGATGCAAATTACTTAATGCGCTGCAAAAAGTAATTGAACAATGTTCAAGAGCAATCTAACATACCGAGGAAATTGAAAGCAGAAGTTAGAACCTGGATGAAAAGTAACATTTAATGAAAGAATAAAAGAAGCCTGTTCAAAACTTCTGAAATAAGCATGATATTAAAGAGTTAGCAGAAAACATAACATTTTAAGGATAACGATTTTTTAAAAAACCTCTGTTTTTTCCAGATATATTTTATTTATTATATTTTTTACTATAGTCCTTTACAGTCCAGTTGATTTCAGTTCCCCTTACTACAGGTGCTATAATGCAGCGACTAGTAGGGACTGGTTCCCTTGAAGGGCTGAAAACCCAAACAGACATGAAAGATGAGACATGACGGAAAGGAATTATTACATCCATTATGAGACGAATTCCTGGAAATGGGCAAATAGAGTGATTTGCCCAAAGTTACCCAAGGTAAATTTGTTGCAGAGATGAGACAGAATTTGAACTTTCTGAGTCGATGACTAACGAATTATTCTTATAACTAGGCTGGGTCCTTCCCATGCACAGATCTGCTATGAAAACAAGCCATCTTTGTGTCCAAATTCTTGTCTTCTGAACATGAATTATCCCTGCAACTAGGCAAGTAACAAACATGACCTCCACCCAAGGCCCATGCCTTATTTCCACCTACTCTCCTACAGAAAGGACAACTTTCCCCCTGCGGCTCCAACCCCTGCCCCACGTGTTCATTTCTCACAGCCCCACTGAAAAAAATGAATTCAGAAAGAAAATCCCAAATGACATAAAAATATCGAAGGCTGTAAATTATCTTGGAGCTACATTGCTTCCTTACATGGACACCATTTCATACCACACCTAGTCATTAAGAATCAATAATTCTCCAGGCTGTTAATGTTTGCCCTGAAGGTCTACGACAAGCCTGAAAACGATAAGCTGTGTGGAGAAGCACAGACGGACAGTACCAACCTGTGCAAAGGTGATTCCCACAGCTGAAAGAAGGATTTTTAGAGCAAAACAAGCTTTTCATGTTACAGGTAAGGGATAATCTAACTCATTTCTCATAAAGATTTTAAAAGCTGAAGCAAGGATTTTGCTGAAGGCTTTTCAGGCAGCATTAAGAACTCAGATGTCCTTGTAAAATGGATGACGGCTGTGCTAAGGCTTAGTCTGGTTTGTATTTGATTTGGATCAATTTCCTCTGTTTTCTCTTTACTGAATTTGAACATCTGAAACCAATCATTTAAAGAAAATTAGATTATTTTTTTTCATGGAACCAAATACTTGTGATTGTTACTGATCTTTAACCTCCGGGAATATTCTTTGTTCTCTGAACGTTTATTATTGAAAGTCGCTGGGATAGTTGTATGTTGGTTATCCCAGAGATTTCTGTTCAGTCAGGGGAACCATAAGGGATTATTAGGGATATAGCACTGAGAGGAAAGTAAGAAATGAAGGGGGAAATATGGCTCCAGTCCTCAGCCAGATCTCAGGCTGCTTTTGGTTAAGCTGATCCTATTCTAATCCTGAAACTGTCTTTTATTGAAAACTTTTGTATGAGTTTATATATACTGAAACTCTATTCTGACTGACAGAGGAATATGTATTTTGGGGCTTTGGTCCTTGGCAGTGAGATGCTTCATAAGACTTGATACCAGCTTCCAGGCAAAAATGAATGTTCAAGGGCTGATCAAGCCACTCATCCTGGCCTTGCAACAGGCACCACAATGGAACGACATTACGGATTGATATTCGTATTCAAAGAGAAGGGAACAGGAAAGGCACTTATCATGGAAACCCGTAACCTGCAAAATGGCTGTATTTCCACTGCTGTGTTTCGTAGTTGGATCTGGACAGAGAAACCCGGCTGAGACACAGTGCCGTTGGGCAGCCACATGAAGGAATGCGTTTTCCAGCATTTTCTGTCCCCTACACTAAGGCTGGACATGTCCCTTCCTTAAATTTTCTCCTCACCATAGTAGGTCTTGGTCCTTCTCTTTTGCCTGAATCCAGATCGTGGTATTCCCAGACCACCCCATACCCTTTTTCCTCAGCTCTTGCTGACCTCCCCTAGTACTTTTAGCTCCATGTTGTCCCTCCACCGCTGGCTAGCCGAGGGGCATGTACAGCCATGCCTCCCTGCAGGGGCAGAGGAAACCATGCAGGCAGCCGCTGGGCACACACTGCAGCCTCACCCTCGGGAAGTGCATGCCTTTGGGTCCTCTGCCCCACCTGACACCCCAAATTAATAAAGAATTAGCTTTTTGAAGTTCCCACCCTGCTATTAAGTGTGGCTGAGACTGGCCGATGTATTCAGGAAAGGCTGGGAGGAGGGGAGCAGAGAGGCTGTTGGAGAGGTGGAGGACCTGAACAAATTTCCGTTGACTACCCAACTAAAATATCAGCAATGGTCTTGGTTCAAACTGTCTTCCCAGGAGGTTCAAAGTGTCTTCTCTACCCCTCTGCCTTGGCTGTGCTGGGCCCCAGCTCCCTGGCTTCAGGCAGGGCAGTGAGGGACCCTCTCAGCAGGCATCGCCGCCAGGCAGCCACGGGGGTTTCACCTTCAGCCCTTGTTTCCTGACAAATTTAACAATTTTCCTTCCTCTGGTTTCAAAGGAGCCCCATTTTATTTTCTTCCAGTTCCCACCCAGCTAGGTCCAGCCCAAGGAAAAAGCCCAGTAATTTCAAAGGGCATAATTGCACACACAATGAGACCCCACTCAGAACGGGATTTGCAAGATAAAGTCCTGTGGCACATCCTAAAATGAGTGCTGGAGAGAACAGCAGTGTGGGAGGCAATTTATATATTCACAGGTCCCTTTTTTGTAACATGAAGCACCACTGAAAGTGGCAGCACTGTACACCAGCTTCACCTCTCTCCAGAACTAGCCTTGTCCTTTTTGTTAAAATCTAGAAGTAGTGAGAAAGCAAGATTTCATTTTTGAGAAACCCATCTCATTTCCAGGAGGATATAACACACTCGTGGCAGTGTGTACTCATCATTTTTTTATTTTTTTTTTAAATTCAAGGCAGGAAGTGCTTCTTGGACTTTGAAATTTCATTTCCAGTAACCATGTTGTTATAAGGGGTGCAGATACCTCCGGCTTTCTCTGCCTCTGCAAGCTGCACTGAAAGGTTGTGTTTTGTGACCGACAGACAGTGGCTTCAGGATGGTCCGTGCACAGACTTTCATCTTGTGGTTATAGTGTTTCCTGTGCACTTGCTGTTGCCTTCAGTAAAGCAGAAATGAGAACAGGGCTTGCGTGACATGGAATCTTTGTGACAATGAGGTTGCACGACTGGAAGTTTTGTGCGTTTCAACTTCTGACAGCTGTTTGAGGCTGTCATAGCATGCGGCACCTCCTGCACCACTGGGGACAGACCTGATGGGATGACCTTCCCAGCCAGCCTGGCGACGCCAGCGATCTCACCTCCCACGGGCAGAGCTGCACCTGGTCCTTCAGAGCTCGCTCCTCAGCTGCTCTCTCCCTACAGCTTCAGGAAAGCTTAGCTGTAGCCTTTATTTGCAAATAGATTGGGTCAACTCTACGGGCCTAAAGTGACTATCACCTCTTCTTTACAGGAACAGAAGCAAAGCATATTCCAGTATGTTTAAGCTGTGTGGACTTCAATTTCTGCTTGTCATTCACTCGGTGAGTTACAGCTTTTCCTTCTATTATCTGGGAGCAAACAGCAAAGGTTGCCTGCGAGACTCTGAGCTCTAACCTGTGGGGCATCCCAGTCTGCAGGTTCAGGTTGGCAGTGTGTGCCAGCAGAGCAGCTGGAACTGAGTGTGGGAGGTGCCCAGACACGTGGGGGAACCCATGGCCAAAAGTTAAGAAGACGTGTCAATCATTGGGAAAAAAAACTTTTAAAAACCTAGAGGAAACCAATTTACCTATTTTGCCTCTTGTAGTTCATCCTGAGATATTACTTTTTCCAGTAAGTGGATTTCATGCTAGAAAGGATTTAAAAATACTGCAAGAAATCACCAGTGAAGAAGTCTGTATCATGTTCATGTGTATTATAATCCATACATGTGCTGACATATGAAATGTATTCTAAGACATATAATGGCACATAGTTTAAATCATGCTTATTAAATATTTATCCTCATTATTTCATCTAAGTGAATCCCTTTTCAGAGGATTTTCTGCAAGTGACATGTATTAATTATGCTATTTATGGACCTCGTCTATTAAATTCAATAGATTTACTGATGTTTGTAAAGGCTACAGTGGTGGCTTCTACTTTACAATTGAAATTAACAGAAAAGATAAAAAAATAAGTTGAATTAAAGTCTATGAAAAATAAAAAGCCTCAAAATATGGAGACTTTGAGGGGTGGGGTTGATGTGAAGTAGCAAGTGCCTCCTTTATCCTTTCCATTTCAAAAGCTGCTGCCTATGGCAGTGTTGACCCCTGTGAAGCCACTGCACAGCCATTACAGCCATCCTCAAAAGGGATGCCAGACAGACATGGGCCAAGGAGAAAACTGCTTTTCCCCTTCAGGCCCCGAGTGGTGATTCATGCTGTAGACATACATTTGGAAATTTTTATGGTCCACATAAAGTAATTTTAATCAACAGGAAGAGATATCTCTTACTTGCTTCACAGCCTGCACTTTGAACCCGTTGGGTTTTATAGTGTCAGCGTTTGTTCCTCCACAGCAAGGAACATGACCAAGCAAAACTCTTCCGCAAAATGGCCCTGGGAAAAACTTCCGGGAGCTGGGTCGTACTCACCAGTGCGTCACGGGAACAGCTGTAGCAGGTCAGATCCAGGGTCCTGATATCTTGTCCCTGGCAGAGGCTAGCAGCCAGCATTTAGCAAAAATAGTAAGGGGTAGCTGTAAAGTACTCTTTCCTGGTATGCAGGATTGCATTTTTGGATATTTCTCTACTGTCACCAGTGTTCACTAGCTTCCCTCCCCCTCCTTCCCCAGTTCTCACAATATTCTAGTTTTCCTGTTTGCAAAAGAGTCACAAACCCTTGTAAGGGAGGATGGCAGCATCTCTGGCTATTATTAAGCAGAATCTGGTGTTATTCAACCACCACTTGTCACACACACACAGCGCTTTAGGGTAAATTGTGTGGAACTTAGCTATGTTTTTGTCATAGCCAGAATTAAGTTTTCCCTTGGTAATATGTAAGCTGTGCTTTTCTGTGAGAGGCTGAATAGCTGTCCCAGCAGCAATAGGACCAAATCCAGGGGAAAAGTCATGCAGCAGAGAACATGCATTCCCGGAGTCCGACTCCTTGGGGTGATGGACAGGGTAGCAATGGCACTCTGAATCCGTGAAGCAGAATAAAGTCATTTTTACATGAGAAGAAAGGGAGTTTTACCTGTGCAGCCAAATGATGGAGCCCTAATTCTGGCAGGCGGCTCCTTAGCGTTGGCAAGAGGAGGGTGACAGGGAGAGAAGGATAGGTGTTTAAGGCAGTTTGGTCTTGCCTTTGAAGAAACAGAGTAGATTATCTGAAGCATAGGCTGCATTGTCTTGTGTGCAAGGGCTGCTCTAGGAAGCTGATTTTTGCTTTAGTTCTTTTTGTTTGAAAGAAAGAACAGCCTTGAAACTTTAAAGTCAGAGTGTGTCTGGAGTTTTTTGGGCACTAAGGAGGGGGTGGTTATAAAACTCATATAAAACTCATAAAAATTTTGCCAGAAAAAACACTATGTGAAGGCATTGCCAGCCATTAGGGCGAAAACAGAGGCTGACACAGACTTACATGGCATTTTTGCCATGAGGTAGAAGCCAGAGATCAGCAGGACGTGTTTGCTCTGGCTGCGGTTTGCACTCACATGCAACTGATGTGAAGACACGGGGCCTGAGCGGCTTGTCCAGTTCACCAGGGCACTGAGGGTGGTGGGTTAGGGGACCTGGGGAGGTCCACCTTTTTCCCTTACAAAAAAAGGTTAGATTTACTGAGGAAAATACAATGGGTGCAGCCCCAATTCCTCCCCATGGCCACAGGACTGTGCAGCTCCTGGATGGGATGTGGCTGGTGCTGCTGTGTGATCCAGAAATGCTTTTATGAATTTCCTCTTGCTCTCAGTCTACCCTTAGCTCTTTGGTGCTTCTGCTTGCTCTTGAAAATAGACCAAATCTCATTTAATTATGTAGTACTTAGAAAAGGCCAAGACCCAAATGTTTGTTTTCAAATTAATTAAGAAATAACGCTGCTTTTAAAAATGGATGTGTACTAAAGAACTTGGTTCAGTGCAAGCCGGCAAGTGTCTTGTCCATTATGCTACAGCAAAATAACTTGCAAGAGGCTCAGTGATGGAGATCTGCTGTTCGTGTGCGGTGACAGCAGACATCTCTCAGCTGCTTTCCTCCATCCTTTTCTCTCCCACAGGCTATGTGCCAGAATTTGGAGGACCTGCATATAACTGGGCCTCTGAAGGACATAGATTTCTCTATTCCAGAAGGAGAGGGAATGCGCTTCATTTACCAGGTAATCAAGCATCTCTTGGTATCCACTGTGGTCAAAACCCCCACAGTCTGCACACACTGACCTCACAGGCAGTGTTGTCATCTGTGCTGGTGGGAAGAACAGTCCCCCGAGAGGATCTCAAATTAACTTTGACTTCCTCTATCTGGGAATTCAAGAGTCTACACGCAAAAAACAAGAGACAACCCCTTCTCTCAAACACATATTAAGAGGATATCCTAAGACAGGGATTAATAAAATCAGCATTCCTAGAGAATGGGTTTCCATGTAACTTCATTTTCCTTCAGCTCTGAGGTATTCTTCCCAAAGCCACAACCACAGAAGGACAGATCCAGCTCCCAGGCAAATGGAGGACGTGTGTCATTTTTTTCCGTTCCCGTGCTCAGACAAAGCCTTGTCCTGAGCAGACGTTTGCTTTGGAAAGAAACCACAGTGGGGATTTCCTGCAGCATTCAGGAAATAATGTGAAAACTCCTCTGTTGAGGATCAGAAAAGAGCAGATTTGTTTGAGCAGACTCTTGGAATATCATTCCCCCAGCCAAGCACAATGTTGGCAATAGATTTTAAAAGACACAAAAGCATTACATTATTTAGATTATGGTGAAAATGCTGAAAAAAAGATGATTTTTCCCCATTTTAGTTCACATCTGAGCCACCTGCTGTGAGTTTCAGAGCGACTGGTGAAAAAGATGGAATAATTGACATTGTGCCGAAGACAGGCATCCTGTATCTCAATGGGTCTCTGGACTGGGAGACCAAAGCAGTGCACAGGCTGCAGGTAAAAAATGAATGAAAAATGTGAAGGGAGGGTTGTTCATATTTGCCCTTTTTTAGTAAACCTGAAATTAGTGGGAAACTGTTGAAATTTCAGATTCTTTCTTTTGTCTGTGTCTACAGATAGCTTTTTCATTTTTAGCATTGAGCTTTGCTGAAAGGCACATGGGTTTATAGTTCTGAAAGACTTTGCACAGGAAAATGCTCCTTAGCACAGGAAGGTTATGTTGAGAAAATAAAAATTACCCTGATGGCAACACCAATCCTTTAATTCTCCTCATATGAGAAGGACGTTTGACTGGAAGTGAAATCTGGCCCCATGAATGAGATTCACTTGTTATCCCTGAAGATCGATAGGGTGAATTCCATGACTGGAATGGGAAAATAAACTATTGTAATCTACTTAGGAAGATTATAATCTATTTAGTGACAAATGGTGTGAGTAAATGACATTTAGACACAGAGGCACAGATCTAAACTCTGTTAGATAACAGCAGAAAGCTGTTTGGCAGATGTTGGAGACTATTAGAGGAAAGAGCACTGTGTGCTTGTCCTGCTATTATACTCATGTTTTCATAAGGATCTCATCGTAAACACTGTTGGGAGTGGGACAGCGGGTAGGCCATCTTTTGGTGTCTGTGTAGCCTTGTGCTCTTACTCTGTGTCAAAAATGGTATTGTCTTTTTCTGAGGCACTAGCAACTAAGGAGGAGATGATTGTGAGAGGATCAATATCTGAACAAAGTACATGATGATGTTTTAGCTAGCCTTAGCTATCTTTCTAAAGTCTAGCACACAGGTTTAATGGTTTCATGTTCTCATCTCTAAAGCACTGTTGGATTGGTATTAGAGAGGACAATTTTCTAGCCCCAGATGTTATTAACCCTAAACATGGGAATTCTTTACACAGAAGTGATGACAGAACTGAAAAGTGATACTTGGTTAGGCATAAGTAATCACGATTTGATCTATCATGTGCAAACAAAATAAAGTCTGACAGACATAATATATAATTGGTGCTTTAAAGCCAAAGAAGGCTGGAAAATAAGAAGTCATCAAATTGTTTGGAACAAAAATGTAATCAGAACTAAGAATTAAGTTTTCTTTAAAAATGCTTATATCATCCTATTTTTCTGGTTGATATTTACCATAGCAGACTTGAGTCCACTGTATCATGTTGGGTTTTTTTCCTTGCTCTTTAGAAAGTATTTCTATTTAAAGAAAAGCATGAAGTCTAAGCTGTGCAAGAATACAAGTAGTCTGCTGAGACTGGAAGTGAGAAATTTTCTTCTGAAAAATGTCATCAGAAGCAGGAGTAGGTTATTTTGTTTTGTTGGCATTATATACTATGGCGAATTATTGTCAGTGAGCTGCTGTGGTAAATTTGTCCTTGTAGATGAAGCCACCTAGTGATGGCTCTCCCCAGATTTGCGTCACAATAAGAATGACTTGGCATTTGACGTCCTGATGTTCTTTTATATCTTTTAATTTATCTACATGAAAATATTTCTTTGCTGTTCCTTCTTTTTCCAAATCAAGGTGGAAAGTCTGGATGAAAAGGGAAATGTAGTGAAAGGTCCATACACTGTTACAATACTTGTGGAGGATATCAACGACAACCCACCAGAATTTGACCAGATAAAGTACACTGGAGTAGTGAGGCAGAACTCCCGTCCAGGTAACCATCATAATAATTAAATATCATAGTTAATAGGAAGCTAGGTTGATTAGTTAAATAGGAGGATAAAGTGGGTGCTATACTTCAACAAGTTGAAAAAAGATCAGTTTTTCTTCCCACAGGATTGTACAAAATAAGGATACAAGCATGTATAATATAATGAAAGGGCAAAGAGGTGACCACTATGTAGTGTAAAGAGATGAGTGTAATCAGAAATATTTCATAGGACTTGTTGCTTTGCAAGTATCGCTTAACAGGCAAATACTGCTGCCCTCTCCATTGCACTGAAAAAAACCCCCTATGCTAGAAGGAGTTTAAAGTTTAAAGGTTGCCGAAGACTGTACAGAAAGAGAATGCTAAGAATACGTATGCCTTTGCACATCAGTGAAATAAAATGCCAGTGTAGATATGGGATATGCGCTTACTGTGACTAATGCTTCTCAGAATGTGAACCTTAGTATTTAGGAGACAGTCTTAGATTACGGATTGCAGTGATCCAGTCCAGAAATCAGGAAAGTATCAAAGGGCAGTTCACAACCCACACCTTGGAAATGAAATAAAGGGCTCAGCCAGCTGCTATCACTGTGACTACGGACTCAAGAAGAAACTTTCACTAAAGAATATGCGTATAAATCTCCATGGGGTCAGAAAACCATTCTGCAATATTTTACTGTATTCTTCAACTGCATTCAAGTCAAAAAGATTTTGAATGTTGCATTAGTGATTAAAAGGCAAAAATTCACTTATGTTACCATGCACGTCCATATTTTTTTCACTGTATGATTGTTCCTTTAATTATAACTGTCACAGCTGTAGGGCATTTTTCTCAAGGCGCTTTGGGTTGAACTGATTTGTATAAAGACTGCAAAGTGGCCTTAAAGAGAGATACCAGTGAACTACATTCTGGGTGTAGGCACTCTTGGGTGGTGGATAGATAGCTCTCTGATTTAGCTCTGTCACCTTCTTCATCAACTGGTCTTCACGCCTCTCGTGATTCTACTAAGCAGAGCTGGTAGAGGGAGAACTTGTGGGATGGTATACAGGCAATGTAACCTCCACACACAAGCATGGCTTACCATGAGAGAAGCATTCTGAAACAATGACAGGTCCCCATAAGCTGCCTTCCTGGCTTGAGAGCTCTGCTTGAATGGACTATGTGTTGAGGTTTCGGTCTCCTCTTACCACTGTTTCTTCTCTAATCTGAACAGGCAAGCCCTTCATGTACGTCCACGCCACTGACCGCGATAATCCTACAACTCCCAATGCAAAGCTGATGTACAGTATTCTCCATCATTTTCCCAACCCTTATTCAGAAATGCTTTTCCAAATCGATAATGTAACTGGAGCAATCTCACCAAGTAAGGCAGGTAGGTAAAAAGATGCTTGTTTGTCAAAAAGCCTCATAAGTTCCTGGGTGTACATAGGAACAAAACAACATCACAGGTCTGATGTTAAATTCTGAATAAATGTAGTCAGTGAGACATACTCCACTGAGGCCGTGGTTTTGGGGAACTTTGTGTCCCACCAAATTCAAGGCAAGTTAGCAGAAATGGAGATCAGGATCTAAAAGCACATTGAGAAGAGAGGTAGATCCTCTGGCCCTAAGGACTACACTGAGTCATATCTTGGGATTAATTCTCTCCACTGAAATCTAGAAAACCAAAAGCAGTAACATGAAAAATGCAGAGAAAACTCAGCTGGCCACATGATCCTAACTAAACTGAGATGATTAAAAACCTGTCCCTTCTGCTGGGATGAACAAGTACCTAACTGGAGTGAGGGCTGTTCAGTGATGCATCTCACAACATGAGACCACAGCACCGAGGTCTCATATGATTATGTCCACATGATGCTGTGCTGTAGTGTTCAGAGAAGCCAGATGAAACAGCTTGCTGAGATTTGGCAGAGACCCATCTAAGGAGTGAGCCTGGAGCAAATGAAGCAGCATGGTGCATGTAGGAGGCAATGGGCAAATGAAGAGCCTCTGCTTCATTTCACCTGGATCTTTGCTCTGTCTCTAGGGTCCTCTTACTTAGATCCTCAAAAGCAAGACACCTTCACACTTGTCGTCACTGTGAAGGACATGGCAGGGCTGACATCGAATGCTTTCACCAGCAGCGCTGATGTGATCATCACTGTGAAGGAGAGCCTGTGGAAAGCTCCCCCCACCATCCGCATCCAAGAAAACTCAACCCAGGTCCACCCTGTCAACATCAGCCAGGTAAGGCCATGCTCCCTGCACCTCTCCCTGGTGCCACAGAGTTGTTTTCTCCCAGCTAACTGTGAAGGTGTCCCCACTGCATTCAACACCAGGCTTTTCAGAAGGACTTTGGCACCTCACAGCTGTTTTTTATATAGTATCCTTTGGAAACGATCTTTAATGCAGGTCTCTAACTTACTGTTAGTATGAAAGTTAATGGTTTGAAGGTGACTGAGATACAGTCAATACAAACATTACAGTGACTGGACTTTGCCCTTCAATTTGGAGAGGCTGTTAGCACTGCCTGTGTGTGAGAATATCCCATGGATAGAGGAAACTTTTGGAGAATTTTGTTACAGCGTAATGACTGGCAGAAAAAAGCTGCTTTACAAGGCTATTTGGCACAATATGAAAGACAAAGCTCTTGAGACAGCCCAAGGGAGCTCCCAGACAGACATGTGGCAGTTGGGTGCCTCTGCAGAGGTGCCGTTCTTCTCTCCTGATGGGTTTCCTTGAGCACTTCCAGGCTCGTTCTAACACTACGGGCCCTCCAGGCTTTGGGCAAACCAAGAGCTAACCTGTTGAAGGTTATTTTGCAGTTAGATTCTTCCATCTGCAGAAGAGCCTGGCAGGGGACCAGCTCCACTGCAACCCTGCTGTGGGCAGTCCCCCCCACTCAGGGACATCTGCTGTGACCAGTTTTGTGTGATGCAGCACACCTGCTGTATCAAAAGTACCTAGGAAGGACTGAAATTCCCTTCTTCAGCATCCTGCATCCCTACGGTATTCCTCTTTTCACAGTGCAAGCACAAAATATTTTGCCAATAACTGCAGACTGATAGTGATGTATACATCAGTAAATATTAACTAACAGCCCAGCAGACTTTCAGAAATGTTTGACTTCGAAAAATGCCTTGGCACTGACATCCCCAATGCTGTCATCCCTCGGGCATGGCAGGATTCCTCAGATCCTGTTTGTGAGAGTAACTGACTCGGTGCTATTCTCACTGGCCTCAGTGACAGCCCGAGGAAGTCCAGAGTGAAAACAGGTGGAATAAAAAATAATGATGTGCAACAGTGCTCCCATTCCGGGGTCACTTGTATATAAATTTCACGTGGCAGCACATGTTGATTCTGTCTAGGGGAAAATGAAATGCAGTTGCTGCTATATAGTATAAAACATAAACAGTAATACTGACTCCTTTATTAATTTGGCAGTTTGTTTACCGCATTTCATTTTAAATCTGAAGCACTCTGCTAAAGATCCTTTATCACAGACTTTGATTTATATAAAGAGCATGCGCACAGATACGTGCAGATAGGTACTGGATATTTGTTTTATTGTTACATATCTCTGAATTAGATAAACCAAAACAGCAGGCAGGAACAGACAGTGTAAGGAGATGGAATAAATGAGTGTCAAGACATTCAAATACATATAATGCTTTCTTCTCATGTATCACCATTTAGCTCCACATCCCCAAACCCTTCCATAAAAAGATAAGTGTCGTAGCCCATCTGGACAGCTGGAGAAACTGAGATCAAAAGGCTTCACCACAACATTTCAGAGAGCAGAGGTGGATTATCAGTCTGGTTATCTGCAGCTCATCCCAAGAGCCTGCCAAACTGTTAATTTTCTGGTTTATGAAGTTAACAGGAATGCAATCTTTTCTGTTTGTGGTCCAGAAACGATTCCTGTTAAATCTCAATCTACACTTCTGACTTCCTATCCTGACTTATTTTTGTGGTTTTAGGTGCACTCAAATGAGCCAGATGTAATTTATGACCTTTTTGAAAAAGAAAAGCTGTCCAGGCTTCCATTTTCCATTGATCAGAATGGGGTTATTTATGTGACCGAACCTTTGGACAGGGAAAAAAAGGATACTGTAAGTAAACATATAAAACCTCACCAATGGGAGATACTATAGCAAGAAGCTGATTATTGGTGTGGGAGTAAATATGAGAAAGCTCACTAGAAAGAACAGAGGGGAAAAAAAGAAATGAAATTTATTTCTTGTCACTTCTGTTTGGGAATGACTTGATAGATATGAAAGCACATTCATCTACTACACTGTAAACAGCATTCATTTGGTTCCCCACAACATTTCTCCATGGGTCTGGCTGTGGCAATCACTGCCCACAGCATAAGTATAACATACAACATGGACCAACCAAGCATTGTAGGTGCATGAGCAAGAGGTAGGCAGTGACATTTGTGGAGGGCAGGAGATTTGGATGTTTCAGGTCTACTGCAGATCCCAGGGGCCTCAGGGATCTCTCCACAGCAGAAGCAGAGTTTAACTTGCAGTTGCAACTGTAAAGTTACCCTGAAGTTCCCCATCTGAGGGTCTTTTAGACAGAAAACCCTCTGTCCCCTTTTGTTCTTGGAGGAAATTTGGGCACAGAATAGGCCACGGATCAGATCTGCTGGAGGAATCCTGTCTCTGTATGTGACAGATGAATTTGCAGTGACAAAAATGAGACATTCCTGC